ATCTCAGCTTCAGTTTTGCCAAAAATAAGAAACTGCTGTGTAACTCTCAAATTGCATTTTATAATGGTAAATTAAAATAGGCTTGTTTAATGGTTCTTCACAGTGAAGTTCAATATAGCCCCAACTTCCAAATGCAGCATAAAACTATTTAACATGACTAACTATATTGCAAATGATCAGTTCCAAGGATAATTCACGTTAGAAGGGACCCAAGGAGGTCATCTAAATACCCGATATAGAAATACCGAAAGTAACGCTTTCTGAGAGCACTTCTAAAGAAAATAAAGTTATTCCACTCTGTGGTAGCATGCACTAAAATAAAGCACAGTGTAGTTTCTCAAACAGGCCAGGATCAAAAAATATTGGTTCTTTTTAATGTAACAAACTGAGAACTAAGTGTTCTTAAAATATACAGAACTGAGTCACCGCTTAGGCAATACTTAATCTGCTTAGAACCTAAAGGGATGAACTTGCAAGACCTTGAATTTAGAAAAAAACAGTAGCTGTCAGATTTTTGACATCATTATTAAATAGCAGGAAGTTAAATTCTGGATGGATACTAGACTGCAAGTACTTCCTCCTCACCCTTTACATACAAAGGCAAAAGATTAATAAGCAAGGTACAGCTTATTACAGAACTAAGAGATGAATCTGTGACCACTGCAATGGCACAAGCAAGGAGACAGACACCTGAAATAGTCCTTACTGCATGTCTTTAAATACTAAGCACACTCTGGCAACACTAATAACTACAGCTTAATGTTAACCACTTTATCCTACTATTAAAAGGACATGATATAGAAAGTTAAAACAAACATGAACAATGCCTACAGTAGTACTATTAAAGAACTGTTTGAGTGTACACAATGAAAAACCAAAGGTCAGATTCAGGCAACTAAATAAATTCCACTTTGTGCTGATACTTAATGTCTACCACTTGCTCTAGTAAAAGAGACCTATGTAACAGTGTCAAGTCAAGCTATGGCACGGAGAAAGACTGACTGCATGTGGTCCTGAGAGTGCCAGCATTAGGATTTTGGGACACAGCTGGTGCATCAGCAGCTGCCCTGCAGAACATCAACAGCTGACATCTCAACCAAACAATGGGAAAGCCAAGGATTTCCATGCTCCTTCTCAAGCTCCAGTCACCAGCCAGCTTGACTTAGAACTAAAAAAAGTGCAATTTAAGCAGTCAATTCAAGTCAAAATAGACTTATGGAGTATGCAGATACCTAAATGATACCAACAGTTCTTTATTACCTTAGTGAGAATAGGGCTACTTATTAAAAACAAATCTTGTCTTGCAGCTACCTGGTTTCTCAAGAGTGCACCAAAACTCCTCTATACTGGAGCGGGGTGGGGGGGAAAAGGGGGATTATTTTAGATCTTCCCCGCATCTAAACAAGAAACTGACAGACGTTTTCAGAAAAGCTGCTTGCATTTCTATCACAAAGCACCAACACGTTAAGATTCAAGTCAACTATAAACCAGTAGTAACTCTCGCTACTATCAACCAAATTGCACAGATCCTTTACCAATGATGACTAAAAGAAAAACCAACCTGCCATTCACTGAATTTTACCAGCCCTGAGTATAAAGATGTAAGCAAATTCTACTGTATGAGATAGTAATTACCATTCAATGGCAGAGCAGCTTCAAAATAGGGTGTTTTACCAGGCGCAAACACATTTCTTAAAGAGCCAAAAGTGATTACACGCTATTAGGATAACACACAAACTACTACTTACTCGTTTAGACATAAAGTGCAGCCCTCCTTTTTCAATTAGTAGACAATTGCTTTTATGGAGAAAACTGTACATAACACACAAGGCAAACTTTAAAATGCATTTACTAGTCTACATGGCCTCTCCACAAAAACAGTTAAGAGTGGATCAGGCATGCAAGATGACTTCTTCCACTTTGAAGCTATAGTTACACACATAGCACAGCCACTCCTAGCAATGGATGATACAAGAGATGCTGATGTTACTAATCACTGCATAAAGCTTTATACATAACTGGAAAGCATGTGTGTAGTAATTTGGCTGTAGCAACAGGCAGTGCTTGAATGAATACTCAAGACTTTTTTAATGCAGTATTTAGTTAAATTAGAGAGGAAAGGGGGACCTGCTTTACACAACTTACTTGTAGGTCGTTCAAAAGCAACTATTCGCAAAAGTTCTCTTCTCATGTCATTTACTACCAAGTAATAACCTCTAGAAGTTGCCTAATACAAGAAGACAAAGAAAACAGTATATTTTTTTTTTAATGCTACTTAACATCCTGTTTCAATATAAAACTCCTTTGTGGACTTAAGTCTGGAAACCAACAGGGTAACAAAGTGCACCTCTTAGCCAACCAAAAGGAGAACTCCTCACACTCCAAGTGCTTTTGTGTACAAGACTGTAAATAAATCTTTGAATAGCAGTAATTACAAAGTTACTTGAGCAAGAGTAAAGAGACATCAAAAAGGTTTTGAACTACACACAGAAGCAAACACTATGTATTTAAACAAAAGGTACATAGGCCACAGGGAAAAAATGGGAGTGGATAAGCACATTCCCTGTAGATGAGGAACTGTTCAGCTTTAAGTAAGGTGTTGTTATGCAATTGTGACAACTCTCCTGACTTCTTCCTACACATTCATTGCTAAGGAATATATTAACATACCATAACCCCAAGCCAATGTATTCTTACAAATTCAATTAAAAATATTGTTTTGCATCTTATCAGCAGGGGGCTTGATTTGTGAAGTCAGTTCTCCATACCATCTAAACCATAATGTCTCAATTCTCAACTAAGCCACCACATAGAAGTGTATTGTTACTACTCAGGTCTTACCAAGTTTTGCTGTCTAGGCATCTACCTGCCTAAATTCATCTGAGACACTGGTGGAGAATAAAAGTTTTCAGTCTGTGTTCCACAAAATCTTGGGCAACTGTGGACAGCTAAAAGTTCAAAGACAGCTAAAGGTTCCCAAGCATGGGGTCTCTGTTCCCACCTAAAGCTTTAAAGGCAAAGTTCTAGACGGTTAGGACACCAGTGACCCAATCTTCCTTCCTTAAGATAATTTCACTGCTGAGCATCAAGCTTAACATCCTGCCACCCCCTTCACAACCCAGTGCCTCAGAATGACATATTCGGAGCACAGCATGAAATTTAAAGGTCAAAAGCACCATATGCAGGGTTGGACACTGTTTCACATCTGCAGGGTTGGACACCGTTTCACATCTGCCACCCTGTGCTACCAACCTATTATCTAGTGTGAAAATCAACCATGATATCCTACTTGCCTCTCAAGCAATTCACAAATTCTTAACTCCTTAGAACTTAAAGAGAACATTTTAAAATAAGTCCATTCTTGTTTCTATAATAATTTATGCTTCCTATATTGTGCTCAGTGTCAATTACCTTCTATCCTCACACTTCTACTCATTTCTGTCCCAAACGCTGCACTCTGCTTCTTCCAGTCCCTTTAACATAACAGTGACTCACGTTTCATCCATTCCTTCTGGCAGAGAAGGTTTGAGAAATACGTGGAAAATTCATTACCTCTAACTAAATGATGAGAGCACCAAGGTGCATCTCTCAGGGGAAGAACAATGAAGGGGAGGAGCGCATCACCGCTGGTTCAACAGGCACCTTAAAAACTTGTCTGTAGAGTGTAAAGATCATACACCTTACTTGCTCTTTCTAGGCATGCTGAGAGTGCTCACGGTGGTGCCCCTCCTTTGGGCTCTTCTCCACTGTTAATAGTTTCAGACTCTGTCCAACACAGTAAGAGAATGGAAGCAAATCTGCCCTTGACAGCTTCCCTGCTGCCCAGGGATTGCTCTCTTCTTCTGGACAGCAATTCAGTACCTCAAAATTTAAAAGGACTACCACATTACTTAAAGAACCTACTTATTGCCCTGTCAGGGCTTTCCAAATCCCAGGTATTTTACACATCCACTTTCATGAAAACTCAAATTCAACTGCAGAAGAAAAGGCTTTAAAAATTACATCACTGCAAAGCTAATTACACTTCAAAGTTCAAAAGGCCATTTTCAGTTACTCATCTCTGATGAATTTCAGGGAAAAGGCTTATTGCAGAAGAATGTGGTAAACAAAACACAAATCCTTATTTGACACACAATACAACCTACGGAGAACAAACAAAAGAGAATGGAAACATGTTAGCCTAGAAGTGTAAGCCACATGACAGAAAGGGAATATGGTACCTGAACAGTGCTAAGAGACAGTATCTTTTAATCAAAAATGAGGATGGAATCAAAGTAAAGATGCCACCTGCCACTTCCATTACAGAAGTATCATTGAACATTTCATCATATTAACTATAAAATGCAATCTGCATTTATAAAAGAAAACATGCTATATTACAAAAAATAAAAAGCACAAAAGTTTCCCTACAGTTTTACTTACCACAATAGTGGCAATACTTTGATCAACTTTTAGATTTCCCTAAAGTTACTGAAGGGATTCAGGAAGCCAAAAAAGGAAAAGGACAGCACCTGTCTTGGCACCTCAAACATACCCAGAGAGTGAACTTTATCCTATCATTAAGTAATAGCCACTTTGCCTCTATAGATAAGCAAAGCCACAGGGCTTGCCCAGGTGGCTCACCAGTGACAGATGCCTGGGAGAGCACTCCAAACCCACATGCTACCCACAGATCCATCCTTCTACCTTTTCCAAAGAGAGGTACCATGGTCCCATGATTGGACACCTGCCAGGATTTCAACATTTCTGATACCTACTAATTCTGCCATTTACTTAAACACAGTTTGGGGCACATCAGTCTCACTGTGCAATGGCTTCTTCACCTATCATAAATGGAAAACTATGCTTACCTTCATTGAAAGATTTTCATATCAGACAAGCAATATACAAATATCCCTACTGTGGAAGTGCCAACAGAAATCTATTTTACCTATTATGAGCAAAGCAGCAATTCTAATGCTCACCACCCAACATAACACTGAAGACTCAGGATGTCTTACCTGATTTTATAATTGGGCAGGGTGTGCTTGCGCTTAATAACCTTCTTGAACTGGTTCACTATGATGGAAGTGAGCTGTGGCATGGGCCTGCCTTCAAACTGAGACTTCACTTCAAAGAGTATCACAGGGTCATCCATGAAAGAGAAAGACCAGTGAGTGAAGGGCAGGCGTGTGAAGACCAGCTTCAGCTTCCCTAGCACCCGGGAGATCTTGACAAAGAGGTAGGCCGACTTGCCAAAGACCAGGTCGGCATCGATGGCCAAGTGGAAGCCACCATTGTACTCCAGGTCTACCTCAAAGCCCAGCTCCTCGGGGCAGCCCTCCTCGTTGCAGACCACTGGCCGAATGAGCTTGACAGCTTTGAACACAGGCAGGACGTTGCCGAGATAGACGTCTCTGAGGCTGAGCCCCTCCAGCACCTTCCCCGTCATCTTGGCCTGGAGCAGCTCTTCAAACTCCACCTTGATCTTCTTGGTGACCCAGTTCCTGACCAGGGCTGTGTCCCTGAGCTCCCTGAAGAGGAAGAGGAAGATAGCATTGAGGAAGTGGCACGTCTCCTCGCGGCAGGGGTCCGGAGAAGGCTCTGGCTGCTGCTGCTGCTTGGCGCTGGGCTCCGAGCCCGGGGCGGCGGCAGGAGCCGCAGCGGTGGCCGGCGCTGAGGCCGGAGCAGGGGTAGGGGCCGAATCTGAAGGCGCCTGGCTGCCGGCCGGCTCCGAGCCCTGGAGATAGTCCCTGAGGCTGTGGTCAGCCGCCACACGAGCGTAGACGACCCCGTCGGTGTCTCCAGCCGTCCCGACAGGCTCCGGCTTCCCCCAGTAGAAGAGCAGCAGCTGGAAAAGGAGCGTGAGGACGCAGCCGGCCAGCGCCGAGAGCAGGATCACGTAGATCAGCTGCATCCTCTCCGCACCCCGGGCGCGCTGCCCTCACCGAGCCGCCGCCATGCCGGGGGTCGCTCCCGCAGGACGCTGTTTAACGGCCGCGGCCACCGGAGGCCGCCTCATCCGGGTCCCCACACCGCCCTCTCCGTGAGGGCGGGGCGGCTGCGGGGCCAGCCAATGGCGACTTGGCCCTCCCCTCCGCGAGTCTCCATTGGCGGAGCAGCGAAGGTTTCGCCGGGGACGTCATTACGCTGAGCGGCGTAATGTCACAGCGCGGCCGGCGCATGCGTGGGGTGGATGGAGGTGTGGGGGGCGCGGGAGCCCGAGCCCTCGGGCCGTGTCCGCGGAGCGTGTGGGTCTCGGGAGCGGGGATGTGGGGAGGCAGGCACTCCCGAAGGAGCGGCTTCCGTTCGGTTAGGGTCTATTCGTTATCCCGGCAGCAGAAGGCCGGGGTGAGGGTTTACCTGAGGGTAAGCGATGCCTGAGCCGCCGTTGCCTGCTGTGGTGGTTCAGGCATCCCCCTTCGAAAACACACTGTTAAATAATTAAAACTGTTGTAAAATTGCTCTGGAGAGCGGCGGAGAAATTTGTGGGAGTCCTGTGATATTTAGAACCTCTTCTCTGTTGGTGGGAGATGCTTTTAGGAACTTACATACATACCACATAGATAACATTTTATCAGGCTCTGCCATTGTTGATAAGACAGAAATCAGTTTCCACTCTCTTCCAACTCTATGATAACACTTAAAAGCTGTCAGTGAATAAATGAAGTAAAAAAGCCCAACCAAGTGTCCGGAGGAAAGAAAGATGAAAGCTGAGAGCTGTGCACATCGTGGTATTTCAGCCTGTGCTGTGCTCAAGGTCACTGTTGTCTTGCATGTAGGACTGCGCTACTTGACAATCACGGTCGGCAGTTTTGTAGGACAGACTCTGGCTTCTTTGAAGTCAGAAAGGTGAGGGGAGGAGGGCATCAGGCTACCCAGAACCCATGCAGGAGAAGGAACATAATGCATGCAGGAAGCGGGGAGCAGCAGCCTATCAAACTGAACACAGGAAGAATGGATGTAATAAACAAGCTTAGAAAGAAGAAACATGACATGAGGCAGAGCCACAGTGGAGGTGCTTCAGAAGTCATTTCCCTGCCCATGGTAGGGGGGTTGGAACTAGGGGATCTTAAGGTCCTTTCCAAACCTAACTATTCTATGATTCTATGCTCAACATTTTGAGATTCTAACCCTTAAGATCTAATATATTAAAATCTGATTTACAGAAGTATAAAACCCCCATATTTCTACTGCAAAATCTAAACGTATTTCAAAAAAGCCATGTTATTCTAATCCAGCAAGCTCCTTTAAAGGCCAGATCAAAGCTGTAAGTCCTGTGGAGAACCTACTATGGCAGCTGCACAGTGTTTTTCCAGGTGCTTCCCTGTGTCAGGGTAGTCTTGTCTTTCAGTTTGGAAGTTTTATAATTTCTGAAAGGCAGCCACAATTAAGACAAAAGTTACTGAAATGACGGAGCTTGGAGTTTACATCTCTTTTAAGTTAAATATCAAGCTAAAAGGCACATAGATGATATGTTTTAATAAGAGAAAACCTCAGGCGCACACTTGGTTGTTTGGGGTTTTGTTTTGGCAACCTCCAGAACTAAGAAATGCAAACAAGAAGAAGAAAATGTGAAATCTAAATAGTAGGAAGATAAAGGCTCTCTTCTCCCTTCTCCTTCACAAAGCGTGTGGGGTGGGAGGATTGAAAAGCTCTTCATGATGCAGTGCTGTGGTTTGAAACTAGAGATGCAGAGTATGAATTTTTTATAGGTCTTGTGACTGAAAGTTGAAATGCCTGAGTGTTTAACAGAGCATTTCTGTAGAAATACCGCAGAGGTCATTAACCCAACATTTGAACTGCTCTGAACGCTAATACAAGCATATGCAGCAAGAACGGAAAGGGTTTGGATTTGCAACTAAATGGCTCTTCAGATAAGGAGTAATGTATTCAGAAAGGCAATAGCAGACTTGGGTTTGGGTCAGGAAGAACAGCAGGAGAGAAAAAGGTTGGGGGGAAGTCATGGTCTGGATATCTTGAGTGTTTTCTTCTGTTAAACAAGCAGAAGAGGAAAGTTGGCACATTTTTTTCACCTCATGGCAGCTTAAGGGCCTCTGAAATGTTCAGCTCTGTAATCGCTTTTTCTTCTTTCCCAGGAAGGTTGTCAGCAGGAGCTGTGTTATCTTAATGACATGTTATGAAGCAAGGGTCGGGCGTGTTTCAGCATTTTCAAGAGAATGAAAGAACAAAAGGAATAAGCAAAGACATTAATGTGAATACACAAAGGATGTGGAGAAAATGTTATATAATAAAATAGGATTGAAATAAGAGAGAAAAGAAAATTACTTGCATTTTCCAGGTAGAGGAGAAAAAAAGATTCCTTTTAATACCATCTAGAAAAGGCCTTTAAGAGCATATTTTACTTTGGCTTCAATTTAGAAGGTGCTATTTTCATTTTCTGGAAGTTTGTATAAGTAGAAAGGTGTATGCACTTACATGTACCTATATTTGATTTTTTTTTAAAGTACTAGGGGAGAGTTTATTAAAAATGACATTTCACCTATATTTAAACAAGGAAAACACTCCTTATTTTGGCAAATCAATTTAAGACATGATGGCAACAAACCTGTAAGTGTTGAGCTTCAGTTCTCAGTGTTTTGCAGGAGATTGCAACAGGGATAATGTACAAAGATTGCAAAACACACAGAGCCTGGTAGTTCAACAGAGAGCACATAGCAAAAATTCATAGAAGGAACATGTTTGAGCCTATTTTCCTGTTCTAAAGAGTAGTGGAACCCTGGAAACATTTGTCTGGATTCCCCTCATTCACAGAATCACAGAACAATTTGGGTTGGAAAGGAATTAAAGTTCATCTGATTCCAACCCCGTGACATGGGCAGGACTGCCTCACCCTAGACCATATCACCCAAGGCTCTGTCCAACCTGGCCTTGAACACTGCCAGGGATGGAGCATTTACCACTTTTTTGGGCAACGCATTCCAGTGCCTCACCACCCTCACAGTAAAGAACTTCTTCCTTATATCTAACCTGAACTTCCCCTGTTTTAGTTTAAACCTATCACCCCTTGTGTTATCACTACAGTCCCTGATAAGGAGTCTTCCTTGTAGGCACCCTTCAGGTATTGGAAGGCTGCTGTAAGGTTTCCAAAATGACTGTTCATGACTGGTCCAAGGTTCTTTTGGGTTTAGGGGCATTTTTAGTTAACCCCAGCCAGTAGGACCAGTTGAAGAGGCACAGTTTAAAGCAACAAGAAACATCAATATCACAAGCTTAGAATGGCGATTGCAGGTGTTTTTTCCAAATTGCAAAGTAGTCTAAATAGATCATTTCTCAAGGCAGGAAGTGCTTTGTAACGAGTGGCTGTAGTAATTTTCTTTGTCACTGGACTGGAGTTGTTTTCTGCTTTTGTAGTATCTGTTGTCAAAATTATTTTGTTCTTTCCTGGGCCTCCTGTTGTTTTTGCATTACATCTCTTGGAGACCAAAATTAGATTATCATTCCTATGGTGCTGCATGAAATGGAATTCAGAAGGTGATTAGGTAAATTCATGAGGAAGAAAAAAAAGCCCATTGAAGGCTATTAAATACAAAGATTAGTGGAATTTAATGCTGGTGACGGTCTGCTGGGGGTGGCCTTTTGACTGTCCTCAGGCATCCACAATTTCAGACAGGATACACTGCATGGAGGGCAGCTTGGCTCGTCCAGTTCTGCAGATACCTTAGGAAATAAAGGAATGCAGCAACCTGGACTGCATCCAGTTCTAGTTCTGAACTCTCTCAAGCACCACGTCTTTATCAGGTGATCCTGCATTTTACTGGAGTGAAGCTCTTTAAAAACACTGAGGTTTTAGATCATGTGAGATTTCCCTTGATGCTATCTAAACTGTTTTTTGTTTAATTCTGCCTTTGGAGGGACAGGTTGCACCATGAGTCTGCTCCCAGTGCTGGCAAAGGGCTCACCCCACCTCCAGTTGGTCCTTGGGAAGATTTCAGTTCATCTGGAGGAGCTCATCTGTCATGACTCCTCTGAGCCTATTTCTCACACAAAGGCCCATCTCTTGTGGCTCCGTATTGCCAAATCCCTGCCGTAAATTTTACTGTTGCAAGCTAAGCTCCTTCACTCAGAACTGGGGGGGGAAACTATACAGTTTGGGTGGCTCAGTCTTACTCTAGGCTGTATTAGTGCCATAGTGAACCACCAGCACATTGTCAGCTGGAATAAATTGTTGGACCCATTGAGCTGAATGCATCCATTCATCCTACTGAAGAATCTGACACACACACCCTCACCCCAAATGTTAGTTGTTTTTAAGGATGGTGACTGAGAATTTTAGGAAGTTTTATTCCTACCCTAGAAATTAATCACTGCATGAATTAAGTGAAGGAATCTAGACCCATGTTTTCAAGACTGGAATGCATATGAAATACTGCTCTTTGGTTGAATCCTGCCTGAGACACCTAAGCCTCAATATTCAGGGCTAGTGAGAAACTAGAGTTTATTTTGTAATTGTGAATACTGTGTGCAGCAGGGTTAAAACACCCCAACTCCACTGGCTGACCAAAGATGTAGATGCTCCAAATTGACATTCACTTCTGAAAAAGAAGAGGTTTTTAACTTCAACCCTCAATTAGGTGATCTAACATGTCTCACAACAGGAATACTCTCATTATTTATGAACAGCTTTGAAATCTTACATGTAACAAGTAAAGCACTTGAGTTGATTGGTGTTTATGGCTTAGGGCCTGAATAGTTTGGATCAGAACATGTTAAAAAGAGAGTGAGAGTTTGCATCCAAGGTTTAGTTTGGCCCAAATACAAATCCCTTATTTTGACTGAAGCTCATCTTTAATTAGCATCAAAAGTGTGTTCTGCTTGTTTAATCAAGAGCTTAACATTCTGGGTGTAAAGGTGGTTTGGGTGCTTACTTCAAGAGGCTCATATTCAAGCTTAAAGTATCCTGCCTCGAAATTAGGGATTCTGTTACTATCTCTCCCAGACCCTGGCTTTTGTTATGTCATGAAATAAGATCCTCCACTAAGGAACTGTAGCTCTCAGAGAGCTTTTCCAAGATTTAAATTAAAATTTAAAAAGACATTTTA